CCAACACAATTATATGCTTCCTTAGATAAGGTGGCCAGCACTAGGCACTCCAAAAGTGGTTTCACAGCCTTCCTAATGTTGTATTTAATTTCTCTAAGGATAAATGAAAACATTTTATCAGCTTTCCTAATTACTTGTGGTACCTGCACACTAACCATTTGTGATTCAACCATGAGGAGTCGCAGATTCCTCTGATTCTCATTTAGACAGCATGCTTTTTTATTGTTCCTGCCAAAACGAACAATTTCACAAGGTCATAAATTACACTCCATTTTCCACAGCTTTGTCCACTCATGTAACCTATTCGTATTTTATTGTAGGCTGTATGTACTTTTGGCAGGTAATTTTCCTTCCTCTCTGTGTCATCAGCAAATTTTGCACCATACCTTCTATCTGTTCATCCAAGTCATTATACAAATTGTAAACAGTTGAGGTTCCGGCACTAGTTACTGTGGCACACCATGCCTTATATCTTGAGAATCTGAAAAAGACCCATTTATGCCTACACTCTGCCTCCTGTTAGCCAGCCAATTCTCTATTCATGCTAAGATGTTACCCCTACACCATGAGCTTTTATTCTCTGGAATAAACTTTTATGTGGCACCTTCTTAAATGCCTTCTGGAAATCCAGGTACAGTACATTCAGCGATAACAAGGTGTAGAGCTGGATGAACACAGCAGGCCAAGCAGCATCAGAGGAGCAGGAAAACTGACGTTTCGGTCCTAGACCCTTCCTCAGAAAAAGCTTTCCCCTTTACCCACGTTACTTCCTCAAAAAACTCCAAAAGATTGGTAAAACATGATTTCCTTTTCAATAAACTGTTTTAAGTCTGCCTGTTTACCTCAGATTTACTGAAGTGGCAATGTCTTTAATGATAGCTTCTAAGATTCCAACACAGACTAAGGTTGAGGCCCAGCAGGACCCAGGCCCTGGTCAGTCTGCAGCTCCAATAATCTACTCAGTTTTCTTTCACATTTCACATAGAATCCCTACAGTGTGGAAACAGGCCCTCTGGCCCAACAAGTCCCACCCAGACCCATCCCCTTATAACCCACCTAAACTACACATCCCTGAACACTATGGGCAATTTAGCATGGGCAGTCCACCTAAACTGCACATCATTGGACTGTGGGAGGAAACCGGAGTACCCGGAGGAAACCCACGCAGACACGGGGAGAACATGCAAACTCCACACAGACAGTTGTTCAAGGGTGGAATTGAACCCGGGTCCCTGGCGCTGTGAGGCAGCAGTGCTAACCACTGAGCCACCGTGCCTTCTCTGATGTTAGAGTTTTTTTTCCCTGAATTCCTCCCCCTCTTCCATTTTCTGATTTATTGCTGCTTTTTGGATGTTACTTATATCCTTTATAGTGAACACCGATGCAAAATACCTGTTCAATTAATGTGGTATTTCCTTATTTCCATTTTTAATTCCCCAGTCTTACTTTCTACAGGATCAGCACTTAATTTGTTAACTTTTTCCTCTATTTATATTTATAGAAAGTCTTATGATCTGTTTTTCTATTTCTGGTAAACTTTTTTTCATACTGTTTCTCCATCACCCCCTTCGCCACTTATTAGTTTTCCAGTCATTCTTTGATTTTTTTTAATGTTCTGTGCAACCTTCTGACCAGTCACCTTCCTTTGTACAATTATATGCTTTTTCAGTTTGATACTATCTTTAACCTTTCTAGATAATCAAAGATCTTGTATCTGTCCCTAGTAATTTTTCTTACTCATTGAAATGTATCTATGATCTGTGTATTATAAAATACTCCCTCAAATGTCTGCCACTACATCTCCACTGGCCTATTTTTAAGTTAATTTGCAGATTAATTTTAGCTAGCTTTGCTTTCAATCCATCGATTTCTATCCCTCAAACTGAATAGAATGTTCAATCATATTATGGCCAGTGTTACCTAATAGCACCTTCACTATTAGATCAATAATTAATCCTATCTCATTACACTATACCAGGTCTAGTATAGCCTACTCTCTGGTTAGCTCCAGAACATACAGTTCCAAGAAACTATGCCGAGAACATTCTAGAAACATTTCTAACTTTGTCTATCTGATTTTCCCAGTCTATATGTAGATTAAAACTTCCCATGGTTATCTGAAAAGCTCTCATTACTTTTTCTTTTATGTTCCACCCTACTGTGTGATGACTGTTACAGAGTCTGTACAATACTCTCACAAGTGTTGCCTTTATCATTTCTTATTTCTAACCAAACATCTTGGTTTCCAAACTCCGATCATCCTTCTCTATTATGCTAATATCATAATTACCTAACAAAGCGATCTCTCCACTTCTTCCTAGTTTCTGTCATTCCTAAATGCCCTGCATATTTCAAGATCCAGGTCTTAATCCATGTCATCCTGCAGTTATGCCGTTTGGCAGATCATGCTAAGTCATTTCTATTTATGCTCTCAGTTTACCTATATTACGTTGAATGCTATGTGCATTGATACAGAGCCTGTAGTTTTAACCTTTTACTTTTTTTTAATAAGCTTGAGTCATATCTGTTGGTTGACTCTCAGATTGGTATTAACTATCCCTTCTTGTCACAGCCTGTTTATCGTTTTCCATATTAACAACAATTTCTCTTTGGCCTTGACTCAGCTTTTTGATTCACCATATCTTATCAAACTTGGTCCCTTGGCCTCCACTATTTCATTTAAAATCCTCTACTTTCTCATTAAGCAGTTGGCAGGAACACCAGTCTCAGTATGCTTCAGGTACAGCATCAGTACAATCCGATCAATACAGAACCTACTTTTCCTAGCACTGCTACCAGTGTGCTATGAAGTGGAACCCACTCTCCCATACCATCTTTGAACCATGCAATCATCTGTATAATCTGATTTGTCCCAAGCCTGTTTGCATGTGACTCAGGTAATAATGCAGAGATTGTGACCTTTCAGGCTCTGCTTCTTAATTTGGTGCCTAACTCTTCATACTAAGTATGCAGAACCTCCTTCTTTGTCATGTGTAGGTCACTGGTAACTACATGGACTGACATGATAGGATCCTCTCCCTCCCGCTTTCTCTCTATCACTGAGCAGAACTACTAGGCAAGCAACATAGCCATCTGGAGTCTCAGTCTTTGATGCAAAGAACTCTGTCAATCCCATGACTATATAGTCCCACACTATCACTACATTCCTTCTTACTCGCCCCTCTTGAATGGCTTCCTGTATCACTGTGCCATGGTCATCCATCCTACTGTCCTCACTCTCATCCAGACAAACAGAAAGAACCTCAAAACTGTTGGACAACTGCAAAGGCTGACTCTCCTGGCCTCCTGCCTCTGGGTCCCATTACCAGCCTCCTGTGCAAACATACTCTTCTGTCACAAAGCATTAACCAGTTCAGAAGATCAAGCCCTAAGAGGTGCGATTATTTCCTCATACAAGGAATCCAACTAACTGAAGCAGTTGGGTTTAGGGTTTAGGAGGAGGAATTGGTTGTTAGGTACTATGAGGAAGTGATTAAACATGTTTTTATCTGTAATTGATAAATCAAGATCCTTGAGACAACGATGGGGGTGGTCGTCAACCGGGCTGAAGAGTTTACATAGAAGAAAAGATTTGGGGAGGATAAGGTGGCAGTTAACTCAGAGCAGAGAAAACACGATGAGTTGAGATGAGTGTTGAAATTACCCCAAGATGCAAAGCTATTTAACGCAAAGGCTGAGAGAGGAAAGTAGTGTAGATATTCTGGAGAGAAATGCACGGGGAAGGCAGTCAACAACAATGATTTTTAAACAGAGGTGAGAAGAGTGCAACAAGGCAAGATGCTACAAGGAAGACAAAGTGCTAGAGCAGCAAGATCAAATGAACCAAGATGTGATTTGGTCAAGGCAAGTGGTGACAAAGGGTGGGGAGGGGCAATTATGCCAATTCAATCAGTCACAATAATTTCATGGATATGAAGGATCTTGTTTGGAAGTGAATGGACATTTTGGAGGGAGATGCTGACAGGGGTAGTGACACTTGATCTGCTGGCATAATTCACTGTGGGAAACGGGAGTTGAACAGATGAGGACTGTCAAGAATAGACCACACAGGTGCGCTGGGTAGGAATGTCAGCAAGACAGAGGAGGATGGGGTTGTTACTCATGATGAGCCATTACCGAGCACCTAGATAAGCCTGACAGAAGATGCCAAGAAAGGCACAAAGGCAAACTGCAAGATTATCTAATGGGGAGTCAAGACTCAAATGGCAGCTAGAGAGCAGGACATTTGAGAAGCACTGAAGGGTTGATGGTGGGAATGATAGAGCAGATCACCAGACAGTAGAAAATTGAAAGTAGGCACGACAATAGAAGGGAGGGGTCCAGGAGGAATAAAAAGCAAATAAATTTAAAAAGAGCACAGAAACAAAATAAATGGATGGACTCAGTCCAAAGTGGCAGCCAAAATGCACATACAAATACATTCAGGAAAAATTCATACTACATAGACTCAATATATAAAGTTATATGCATATACACATTTAGTTGCCCATCTTTGGTAGATGGAAGGATGCTGATGATGATTATGATAAAATTATGAAAATAATGACAGTTTCCGTCCACTTACTTATTTTGGAGCAAAAATTGAAATGCTCACGTTTAATCATCACCATTCTGCTAAAGTATATTCCACACAGTATGAGCAATGTGCCTTATTCAACTTGTAAAATCAAAATCTGTGAAAACAGCCAGAAATGTTACATGAGGATCCTGAAATTATGGACACCTGTGCACTTATGAAAAGATTGGAGTGGGTGACCCATTTATTTTGTAATTATAGAAAATATTGCATCCAATCACAGGGTAGGATTATGCTGGAACTGAGAAAATTTGGTGCTTTATATCGTTGCCTAATTGGGGCAAGGCAATATGGATGGCTACCTAAACTGCAGGGCAGCTTGGCACAGAATTTAGGACCAAGTGCACCCTACTTGTTGAAACACCAAATCACTGAGGTGTTGTCTATCCACTGGAAGACTTACCTGTGTTTTGTAGATGGAAGTGCTGTGTTTCAACGAAAATGTTCCAAGTTCCAACCTGTTGCTGTGCCAGGTGGACTGAAATGATGTTCAGGTTCCCTGTACCCAGGTGGAAATCCTATCCAGAGAGGGAAGCATCAGTGATACAGGATGACAGGTAGGCAGGGTATGCAACTGATACCCGCCAGATTATTGCCTTTGATTACCACCATTATGCTTTTGTTGGTTCACAGTTAGAGGAGCTATGGCCTCCCCACTGAGTTGCTATTGTTGTAAAAGAGGGATAAAATTGATTTTGTCTGGCTGTATCTGTTATTCCATTAACTAAGATTTAATATTTCAGCCAATCAGACTGGACTAGCATTTTGAACAGCATATTTCTTGTGCAGCACTCCAATGACATCATAAATGTTAAATATTCCCTACTTATATATCGGTGGGACAGAACTTGATAATCTATATTAATCTCATAACTGATGTTACATATAAACTAGGGGTGACCTTACAGGGGTTTATAAAATCATGAGATACATGGATAGGGTGAATAGCCAAGGTCTTTTTCCCAGGATATGGGAGTCTAGAACTAAAGGATTTGAGGACATAGGTTTAAGGTGATAGGGGAAAGATTTAAAAGGGACCTGGGGAGCAATGTTTTCATGCAGACAGTGGTGCATGTGTTGAACAAGCTGCCAGAGGAAATGGTGAAGGCAGGTACAATTACAACATTTAAAAGGCCGAAAGAACTGCCGATGCTGTAAATCAGGAACAAAAACAAAGTTGCTGGAAAAGCTCAGCAGGTCTGGCAGCATCTGTGAAGAAAACATCAGGGTCAACGTTTCGGGTCCGGTGACCCTTCCTCAACCGGATCCGAAACGTTAACTCTGATTTTTTTTCTTCACAGATGATGCCAGACCTGCTGACCTTTTCCAGCAACTTTGTTTTTGTTCCTGATTTACAGCAAAGTTGCTGGAAAAGGTCAGCAGGTCTGGCATCATCTGTGAAGAAAAAAAATCAGAGTTAACGTTTCGGATCCGGTTCTGAGCAAGGGTCACCGGACCCGAAACGTTGACTCTGATGTTTTCTTCACAGATGCTGCCAGACCTGCTGAGCTTTTCCAGCAACTTCTGTTTTTGTTCAGCATTTAAAAGGCATCTGGATGGGTATATGAATAGGAAGGGTTTGGGGGATATGAGCCAAATTCTGGCAAATGGGACTAGATCCAGTTGGCACAGAGTTGGACCAAAGGGTCCTTTTCTGTGCTATATAACTCTATGAATCTGCATTTAAAGCTAGCAACAGAAGCCACAGAGGGTACTTGTCTGTTCTTTAGAACTCAATTATGACGGGGCAATGTCAGAGAATATATATTTTCCTCCTCCCACCCATCATCAATGCATAGAAGTATATTTGAGTCACTAAAATACCATGAGATTGACACTCACGTTAGTTAAAGGACTGCGTACTTAGTACAACTGGTGTCATTCCCAATTTCTTGTCTATCTTATCTATCATGCCAGATGTTAAAATGCCTTTGAGCTCAAGTATTTGTTTTATAATCAAAACATTTTGCCTACCTGATTTGGAGCCTAACTTCTATCAGAAAAAGTGATTACTGATTAGAAATTCAGATACTGTTTCTAAAGTAGATAATGTTTTGAGCATTATAGGTATGAAATAATATCTGTTCAACACTACATCTTCCTTTCCAAAGTTCTGTTATCTGCTCCCTCTGTCCTTAATTGAAAGAAACATTGATGTTGCTCTACTTTTGAAACTATTTGAGACTTCTTGAAAAGCCAAATAGATAGCGAGGACGAGGAAGTAAGTGATGACAAGGGCAAGGAGAAACACAAAGAACTTGCATTTATATAGCACTTTTCACAACTTCAAAATCTCCAAGCATTTTATAACTAATTTATTACTTTTCGAAGTATAGGCACTGTTACATTAAACACAGCAACCAATCTGCCTTCGCCAAGGTCTAATGAACAACAATGTGATAATGACCAGATAATTTGGTTTAATAATTTTAGTTGAAGGATAAATGTTGGCCAGGATATCTGGGATAACGCTTCTGCTCTCTTAAATATTGCTTAGATTTTTTTTTTTAAGATCCATCTGAGTTGGCAGAAATGATGCCTAATCTTGTGGACAACATCTTTTAACAGTGCACATTTCCAGAGTAAGGCATTGAAGTGCCAGCCAAGGTTATATGTTCATTTCTTTGGAGTGGGATGATTACACAATCTTTTGATGCATTGTGCTACCAACTGCATCACAGAAGACATTTGAAATTTGAAGACAGCAAAGAGAAAGGTGAGCAAAAGATGAAGAGCAGAGAGAGTTTAGAAGGAATGACAAAACTTTGAAAATGTTTTTTGACAAAAATTGGAGTAGAGAGGTTGAGGGAATTTCAAATAGCAGCATCTTGTGAATTAAAATTGAGAGCAAAAGAGGAAATCCTTTCGAGAAAACAACAGTTAAGCAGGATGATACAAGGATTCAAACTTTTTGGAGATAAACTTTGGGCTCTGATCTAGATTCAAATGGTCCCTATTGGCTTTTTATTTTCAACTATTATACTGTAGGGTGCGTTACTTACTCTTTTCATTCTTGCCACTGAATAAAAACAATTTAAGTATGTTTCATACAAATACAGCTTAAAAACAGAGGCTTTAAGACATAAATCACACGATAGGAATAAAGATTTTTTTCTTAGAAAAGGAATACAATGACACTTCCTTCATGATGCTTTTATTTTTAAAATTTGCCCTCGTCCTTTGTCCCCCAAAAGGCAGGATTATATGAGAAAGTACAGTTCTACAAGGGGAATTGGTCTATAATAAACTTATTTAAGTGACCTGGATAGCAATGTCGTCCGGGTCTTTGATCATTGGCGCCACAGTTCACCTTTATACTCAACCAGAGTCCAAACTATATTTTGCAGAGTTAACTGGTTAGTGACCAAAAATGAAAACTTTAGCTATTTTTTTTCTCTCTCCCCTGGAAATGGAGGCTAAACATGAGTTTGTGCAAAGCAGTTCCCTTGCTACATTAATGTTACAGTTATAAAGTGAATTTAATAAATCTGGAGTCAGTTCACAACATGCACTCCAAAATGCAGGGAAAACATTTTTTTTTTCCAGACGAGGTGACTACTTACTTGGATCAAAAGGATGAGGCTGTAGACAGTTCACCACATGGTTGTCAGCTTCCAATAGCATCAGTAATTCAGCTGTTTGCCGATCCCAGATGAATATGTGGCCACAGTCTGAGCCACTAATTACATAATAACTACCCCAGAAATTGGCTTCTTTGATCTGAACACAAAGACAGTCAATTATCATTGTGTATTCCAACAGCAAAAATGCCTTTTTTTTCATAAAGACAGTTTTACAAGATTCGTTTACCATTGTCCTCGAGTTACGGTGGCCTTTGTATACCATTTTTAATGTAGGTTTTCTTATGTTTTGAGTCTCTAGTTCCTCCATTTCCTTCTTTTCTTTTCTCCTTCTGAATAATTCTTGAATACGGGCAGCTGCGGTACGTCTAAGTATCATGTGTAGTAATTCAGTACAAAAGTTTAAAACAAAGAAGAGAAAAATGTTAATTAGTTGTTCCACTAAAAATTCTTAGAGAAAATTTCTGCAGCAACAGCTTGCATCTTAAATTATGGCTTTAACAATGCAAATAAAGGAAAGAGACACTGAGGAGATCTCCAAGGAGTTCTCCTTATCCTTTGCAGTCACAGTTGTTTTGGCTCATTAATATTTGGTTCACAAGGTCAATCCAAAAAGATATTCCTTGACTGTTCATGGGGCAGTCCATATTCTGCTACATGTACATAGCAGCACTGCTCCAACTCAAAGAACTGGTTAGTAGAATAGAACGCCATCCATTCAATGGTATAATTTCATGCCACAGTCTTGGTAGCCCCATCTTCTGGTTTTCCTGATGAACTTACAGGAAGCAAACATCTAGTTCTGCCTTTAAAATAACCAAATCCAGTAACTTAAATGAAATAAAATTACTTTAAGAGAAAGGAATGAAGGTCCCAGAAACTTTAAAATAACAAAGCTACAATGTGAGGTTTACCCAAAGTTGAAAAGTATGCACTATGAAAATTAACAATACTGCTAGTTGAGTCCATTTGCTTGCAATTGAGTTTAGTTCTTCATTACATGTGTGAATATTAGCTATTAGCTCATATAAAAATAACAAAAAACACTGAACATTTCTAAGTTTGAAAATAATACCTCTTCAAGCTGGTAAGAAAAACAAATTTGTACTTATACAATGCTTCAGTACATCACAAATCACAGGCAAATAGGTACCTCCGAATCTAACCACTATCATAGAGAAACACTGCAAGTGAATTTTCACAGAGCAATGTTCTACAAACAAGTAATCATTTATCTCATTTTACGATTGTATTTAGAATTTTTATTACTGTAGTGGCATTGGTTCAGAAATAAATGTTGCCGGGATATCAGAATGTCCCTGTAATTCTGCGAACAGTACCATGACAAGTTTTACGTTGACCTTATCTGAAAGATGGCAGCTGATGGCACATTGTATTCTTGAAGTATCAGCCCAACTTAATGTGCTCAACTTAGGTTTGAATCTAGAAACTTTGGAATCAAAATAAGAATGCTTCTGTTAAAGAAGGGTGACACCAGGTAATGGTGAAAAACCGAAAGCACAAGTAATCTCAGGAGCATATCTGCAGTGAAGATTAGAAACACAATATAGTCATTGAGATTTCTGCATTTCTGGTCATGATTAGTTTCTTATAAATT